GTCAAAAAGCAGGCTTAATAAAAGATATTTAGAACTTTGAAAGAAGACTAAAAGAAATAAAATATTAGAAGCATGATTTAGCTTGTCAAACAATAGTTAAAGCAAGAGAAATAGTAATAAATATTAAAGCAGAAAATTACTTATAGAAAGTATATGATTATAGAATAAATATAAGAAACTTAGTCAGAGTTAAATCATAAACAGCAAGTAGTAGCATAATAAATAAATATAGTTTGATATATTTGAACCAACTTGTAGACATGAAAGAAGAGAATCTAATTACATGAAGACAGCTTAAAAGTCTTTTAAGGCTGTCATATAAAGAGAAAAAAAGCCAAATAGTTTAGTAAAATAGAAAAAAAAATATTAATAATACAGACAAGTAAAGAAATACATGACCAATACAAGATTAGTAACTACAATACACAGACATTAACAATTAACTGAACAAAGATATCTGAAGACAGAAGAAAGAAAGAGTAGATTGTATATAAATCAAAGCACAATCAGCAACTTAGTAAGATATTAAAGAAGAAAAAGAAAAAGATCTTAGCTGAATATTGGCTATTGCAGAAAGTAAAAGGCATGATATATACTGAGATAAGTAAATACAAAGAGTGTAAGAACAGAACAAAACAAATAACAGATAATTATAAAAAGTGAATAAAATAAAACAATAATATAAAAGCAATCTTAGAAACATTAGTAGAAAAAGGCAGTAACAAGATTAATGCAATATTAGAACAAATACTGAAAAACAGAACAATAAAAAATAGAGAAAAGAAGAAAGAAGTCTAATTAAACTAAAACAAGTAAAAGAACTAGAGATAGAATTAATCAAAAAAACAGAAATTAGATAATGAAATTACAGCTTACTTAATAGAAGTTCTAACAAGAAACAAAATAAAAAACAAAGTCAAATATATCTTTTATACAGATAAAGCATTATATAAAAGAAAAGAAAAAAATGTTATAAAAAAGATAAGCATTAGTTAAATGCAAGTCAGTAACAGAAGAAACTGACCAAAGAAAGAAATGATATTAGGACTTGAAGGTTAGCCTTTAGAAATAATAGCAAAATTAGTAACAATATAGTTAGCAATTTTAACTATACCAAAGAGAAGAATATAGAGTACATACAGATAGCCTCATAGCATTAAGAAATATTACCAAAGCAATTCAAGAGCTAGAAAATGAAAAGTTCTAACAAAGAAAAATGCAATGTGAATAATGAATATTGTAGGTTTACTTAAAAGCAAAGGCAATAGAATAGAACTATTTAAAATTAAAAATTATAGTAATAATAAGTAGAATAACAGAGTAGACTTACTTGCAAAAAAAGAAAAACAGAAGCAATATATGAAAGAACAATATCTGCAAAGAAGATCAAATGTGACAGAATAGAGTACCACTTAGAATGAAAAAACAAAAAAGTCAATATACCAACAAGACTTTTTTGTAAAATAGTTACAAATGCCAGAATTGGAATCAGTTGAAGAAAAACAAACCCAATTCAAGTACTAGAATCAGAAACAGAGAACACTTAATATAATTAGTTAAGTTTTTGGAAAGAGATTAATAGAACAAAAAGTGTACATTGCATAACAAAAAAACTTAGTACAAAAAGAGTAACAGTAATCAAATACATAATAGATAGCCTATCAATACTAAAAGAATTAAATAGAAGAAAACCAAAAAAATATATAATGACTAACTGCAAAGTATATCAAAAAAGTAAAAAGAAAACTCAAGCACATTTAGCAAGTTGCATTGAACAAAGAAGCTTGTGGAAGAGAAACTAAAGATAGCAACAGCAGTAGCATAGAATAGTCTTAAAGAAAATAAAAAAGTTAGAATTCTGTTTCTAGTGTTATATAAAGCATTATTTAGGAAAACAGAAGCAGAAAGAATTACTAATAAAAGGGCTTTGATAAAAGAACTAATAACAAATAAGATTAAAAAAAGGATCAGTCAGATTCTAAATAGACAGACAACACAAAAACACATAGATATAGTAACAAAAACACATAGATATAGTGACAAAAACAGTATAGAATACATTCTATGACCAAGTATAAAGAGTTTGATGTGAAAAATTACAAGAATGAGAAAAGAAGATTAATATAACAAAAAAATAAAAAAAGGTGCTTGAACAAAAAAAAGATTAGTAAAAAGAACAGAAAAAAATAAGTCAGCAAAGAAAGAAAAAAAAAATAAAAGTAGAAAAAATGAACTAAATAAAAAAAAAAACTTAGAAGACAATTGATATGCTTGTTACAGAAAGAGAAAAACCTTTTTGATATAGCTTTAAGTAGTTAGTTAAGCAGTCTATCTCTAACTGAGATAGTGCAGCAGGTTGCACTTAGGTACCAATAGGGTGGCCAAGTAATGCTAAACTTAAATATTGGAAAATTCTATGTAATTATAAATATATATAGTTTTAAAAATTTTAATAAAGTATTAGTGTAACTGCTTAAAGTTAAAAAAAAAAACAATAACAACAATAAAGAAACTTATTACAAAATAACAAATAATAGAGTGTAGTAACCTAGTGAAGTGATTAGGTTGTCAACTTCCAAGTGGTAGATTGGATGTTCAAATCTTATTGACAATGAAAATTTGAATAATCATCTATATAAAATTTATATTATAGCAACTGTTACTAATAATTGAATTAGAATACTTATAATAGTGATTATATTAGCATGACTGGCAGGTTATGAGGCATTTGTGTAATTTGTTATACAAAGGAATGCAAACTAACAAATTGGATGGTGCAAATACTAAATAAGTCTTTGTAGTTATGTAAATCTATTAAAATTGGATAATAAGAAATTTATTAAAAAAGACCTAAATAAAGAGGTAGCTAGATCTTTGATAGCTATACTGTAAAGACTAGTCTGAGAAAATGGATAGCAAGGTTATAATATTAGATTATAGTAGCCAGATAGGCAAGAACCTTTAAGTTAGAAGTCTTAGAGATACTACCAACCAGGCCATCAGAATAAACCAGAGAAAAAGAATATCAGACTGATTTGATATACTAATAGACTAGTCATAATTCTATACAATTTATCTGAATTAGAAGTTTGGTAAAAAGACAGGAATATACTAAAATACTGAAGTTATGCTGTAAAGTAAATGCTAAAATCTGTGTAAACTCCACAAGCCATAGCAGTTAAATGCTATAACTTTAATCACAAATATTAGTTCTGCTATAGTGATATCTAGGTTAGCTGTAAAAATAAGTACAGAAGGTTCTAAGAAGTTTAGCTTAAGTATAAAATAGTTCTAAGGTTGAGATAATAATTTGAATATCTAGATATGACCTAGTAAGTTAACAGGTTACAGATTCAGAGAATTTAAAGTAAAACATCCAAGTAGGGAAATTAGATATAATAGTTGATAAGGAATCTTTAAGCAAACTTTTTAAATAGATAATATAAAAAAGTTATATATGTATCTAATTGTACTCTTTCTTGTAATAGTTCATAGAATTATATTATTAAAAAAGTTGTTAATAAAAGTCAAAAAACTAAAGAGGTTACTTTAACATTAAAAAAAAATAAACAAATAATCTATTACAAAATAGCAAAAAAAACTATTAAAAAATAATTAGATAAAAGAGTTAGTAAAAACTAAAAAAACTTTATAAAAAAAAATAAAAAATATTTATCTAATAATAAAACTATTAAAAAATAATAATAAGTCTAATAAAAAAATAAATAAATAAAAAAAATATGACAATCTGACAAGTAACTATAAGACTATAAAAGAAAAATAATCATATAATTAATAATTCTGTTCTGTTTTAGATATTTTTTAAATAAGATGATTTAAAGTCAAATATAGTCTTATTCAGATTTGTACTAAAGTCTTATATGATATTGGTTTTTTATATTTCTTTATATATATATAACATTATACTTCATATAGATGCTTTAAGCTTCCAATATTAGATAAAACTCAATTTGATGTATCTAAAATGATAGATATCTAAATTTAACTAATTAACAAGAAATAGTTACTATAATACAGTTATAATTTTTAAAATTTATTATTTATAAAAATTAAACCTTAGACCTGTTATTTAAAGATTAACAACTTGTTTACTTTATTAGGTTATTATACCTTCATTTTGAAGTTATTTTTGTAACTATTTAATTAAGAATATTTTTTATTTTCACCAGTTGTGATGTCACTAATCATGTGATTAACCTTCTACTAAGATAATGTACATAATGACATATAATTAAAAATCAATACATATTACAGTTTTTTGTTTTTCTTGACTATAGTGAATGAGAATACTATTTTGATTTCTTTAAAATAAGCAACTATATTATTTTAAAATGTTATATATCACTCAACCTAAACTCAATTTAAGTACTGCATTGTCTAACTTAAATACTAGTAATCTTTGTCTTAAAGATAAAGAAAAATCACACTAGCGAATGTCCTTTGCAAAAATGTCACAATCTGAAGCATTGATAATAAAAAAAAAACAGAAAAAAAAATAAGAACCTCTCTTTTATATACTTATAGCACTTGTTGAAGTTTGAATAGTTATAACTACAGTACTTCTTGGAATTTGAATGATAATAGTTTACAGCACTTGTAAAATTCGAACAATCATGTAAGTTTTTTTTTTTTTTTTTGTAGCAATTGTTACAATGCAGTATACAATTAACAATAAATATATAAATAAGTATTTTAGACTTGAAATTAGAGGATACAAATTGTAATGAGACTTAAAAGTAAACCATCTTAGAAGTGTCTTTCAGCTTTTTTTTTCTTTTAACAATATTCAAGCTAAATTCTCAAACTAAAGATACATTTAGTAATGATAACTTTTTTTGTTCTGTTCTGTATAGTAAATTATTATTAAAAAAGCAAACATATACTTATAATATTTAAAAAGATCTAATTGCTGCTGAAAATGCAATTGGATTGTTAATTTACAACTATTCATTCTTTAATTTAGATTAATGAATTGAAAGTACTACCAATTCTGGAAACACCAATAATTCTAGAGACACTAATGATCCTAAAGATATTAACAATCCTAAAGATACTAATGTTTCTGAAAACACTACTAATTCTGAAGATTCTGATATTGTTATTAGGCCAATTACTTCTGGCACTAGTTTTTCTTCATAGACATCTTTTAAGAAAAGCCTTGAACATTATAGTAAATAAAATGGATTCAAACCAATAAAGGGTCAGCGAGATATAGACAATGAAACTGAAAATATTATTTACTGATATTTTAAATGCAAATATTCTGAGAATCCAAAATTAAAGTCTAATGTTACCTAAAAATCTAATTTAAAGAAAATCCAATGTGAATAGTGATATAATACTAGCTATAAAAAGACTGATGAGAAAATTTATATTAATAAACTTGTTAAAATGCATAATCATAGCCTTATACTATATCATGAGAAGTTTGCTTTATCTTTGTGGCAATTATTACAAAAAGTTCTAGATGAAATAAAGTTTATGACACAAAAATATAAATATAATGCTTGCCAGCAAAAATGTTATCTTGTTAATAAGTTTTTCAAGATTAACATCTATTTCAAAAACCTTTATAATGCAATATAATAGTATAAAACCTCTACTACCTCTAATATGAATCAAGATGCTGCTGTAATACTTGAATATTTAATTTTAAAACAGTATAAGAACCTGAATTAGAAGGTTAATGTATATTTTAAAAGTACTGACACTTTCTTGGCTCATTTGTTTTGGCAAAGTTCTTATTAAGCTTGGCTTTATAAACAGTATTATGATATAATTATGAATGATAATACTTGTAAAACTAATATTTATCATATATTACTAAATATTTTTGTAGATATTGATTCACGCAATAGAACAAGATTGCTTGTACAAGTACTAGTTCAAAATAAAACACAAGCTACTTTTGAGTAGATCTTACAGTCTTTAAAAACTTTAAACAATAACATTACTCCACAAACGATTTTTACAGATAGTGATCATAGGATGGTAATTGCAATTTATAGTATGTTTTCTAATACCAAATATAAAAATTGTTTATTTCATATTAAACAAAATATTTATAAACATTTTGCAAAAAAACTTGCATGTGATCAATACAAAAAATTCCTAAAACAATTTTATTGCATATGTAATAATAAATGTGTAGAACTTTTTAAGAATAGATGGCAACAATTATTAAATAATTTTCCTGAACATGAGTGGTACTTAAATTGATTATATAAATTCAGACATGCATGGGTTTTGGCTTACACATATTTAACATTTTGTGCTGGTATAAACAGTGCCCAACATGTTGAAAGTTTTAATGCTATTTTAAAAGCTGAAGTTGGAGCACAAACTTTACTCACAAAATTAGTAGAAAGTATTAAAAAGTAAATCGATAATGAAGCCAAATATCAACATAAATTGGAATACTGAAATTAGCTTTCATCTATTAGTTTGTCTACAATCTATAGTACTTTTTTTTTTAAGATTGATGAAATCTTAAAAAAATATTTGACCTCTGAAGCACTTGAGCTTCAAAAACTTCAAATTAACCAATTATGTCTTTATCACTCCTACTGAATTGATTTGTCAACTTTTAATCAAGTAAGTATTAAAGTTTAGAACTGTTTATTTTTTAGTATTAAGTTTAAAATTTACAAA